GGGGGGGGGGGGGAGGGAGCGAGGAGTTTGGGTTTTTTGTGTTTATCGATACATCATTTTCCAGTTGGAATAATCATTCAGGCGATTCCAGCTATTTTGGCTGGGAAAGCCGTTTTTTTGGTAATCTCTTCGAGAGGCGAGACGAAAGTCAGGATCCGCAATAAAAGCAGCTGGAGCGCTAAAATTTTCTGATCATGATCGTGTTTAGGCGGTCACGCTTAAAAAGAACTCTCACGTTTCCCCCTCACGTACGAATATGTAAAATTTGACGCATGGGCAACCGGCAGTCTTATTATCTATGTGTCTAGAGAATTTTGACTATGGATTGTATAGTATGAATCGCCAGTTACATTGGTAATTTAAATAGTTCCGATGAACTTTGAAACAGTTTTTTTTTTTTTTTTTTAGCAGATCAAAACAGAAGTGAATATTCCTTCAATTATATCATTTGTCGATAAACTGTATGCACCGACATTCGAAATGGTTAATAAGAAACGCGATAAAATGGTATTTTTTTTGAAAAACTTCAAGTTTTTGGTAAATCGGTTTTTTTGAGATCGTATTTTTCTGATTTTTCTTGCTACCAGCATTTTTGGAAGTTCTAAAACACAAAAAAAAACAAACAAAACAAAAATCAAAACCGATTACCATATTTCCCACAAATTAAGACGATATGAAAATCACATGTCAGCGATAATACTGGCATTTTCTTGCGCGTTCTATCTGCAAGGCTTTTCGATCTTGAAATATATTAGGAAAATATTTTAAAGTTGGAAGAAGGCAAAAACAAATAATATTAAAAAATTAGTAAAAGTTGTAAAATATCTTAATAAAATTGTTATAATGGTAAAAAAATGTTTCGGTCCATTAAGTCGTATACATTTCTTACCATTACCACAATTGGGCCTCGTCAGTACGGCGATTGTGTGCTAGCTAGTGTAAAATTGATTTTAATTTTAACTGTTTATGTTATATTAGAATTAGTAGAGCTAAAAAATATTGCAATGTAGCGTATGTGTGTGTGTGTGCGTGTGTGTGTACGCGTTTCCGTTCGTATGTATGTTTCTTGTATCTTTCAGGCAGCATATCCATTGTTAACATGCTTATTATGTATCAGTCAGAGCAAATTTTTCCTAACCAATTGGCCTCAGTTTCTTAATTCCACACTTGCTAGTCTAAAGAATAAGGATTCAAAAGTATCACGAGTTGCTCTGGAATCACTTTATCGTCTGCTCTGGTACGCACATTTTTTGTTCCGATCCGTTTTCCCCGTTATTTTTTTTTTTTTTTTTTTTTT